AAATCAATGTACACAAATCAGTAGCATTCCTATGTGCCCACAACAGTCAAACTGAGCACCAAGTCAAAGACTTAATACCCTTCACAGTAACAACAAAGAAAATAAAATACCTAGGAATATATTTAACTAAGAAGGTAAAAGACCTCTACAGGGAGAACTAGGAAACACTGAGGAAGCAAATAGCAGAGGATGTAAACAGGTGGAAAACCATACCATGCTCATGGGCCAGCAGAATCAATATTGTTAAAGTGTCTATACTACCTAAAGTGATCTACAGATTCAATGCAATCCCTACTAAAATACCAACACATTTTTCACAGATCTAGAGAAAATAATTCTACGCTTCATATGGAATAAGAGAAGACCCCATATAGCAAAAGCAATCTTATGCAAAAAGAACAAATTGGGAGGCATCAATTTAGCATACTTCAAGCTATACTAGAAGGCTATAGTAACTAAAACAGCATTGCAATGGCACAAGACCAGAGGCATAGACCAGTGAACCCAGATTTAAAATCATCCTCATATAGCCATATAATCTTTGACAAAGCAGACAAAAACATACACTGGGGAAAAGAATCCTTATTCAATAAACGGTGCTGGGAAAAGTGGAAAGCCACACGTGGAAGACTGAAACAGGATCCACAGCTTTCACCTCTCACAAAAAATCAACTTACAGTGGATAACAGACTTAAACCTAAAGTGTAAAACTATAAGAATTCTAGAAGAAAATGTTGGAAAAATTCTTATAGACATCAGCCTAGGCAAAGAATTTATGAAGAAGACCCCAGAGGCAATCACAGCAACAATAAAAATAAATAAATTGGACTGATCAAATTACAAAGCTTCTGCATAGCCAAGGAAACTATCACAAGAGCAAACAGACAGCCTATAGAATGGGAGAAAATATTTGCATGTTTTACATCCAATAAAGGGCTGATAACTTGAGTCTATGAAGAACTCAGGAAAATCAGCAAGAAAAGCTCAAACAACTCTGTCAAAAAGTGGGCAAAGACATGAACAGAAATTTCTCAAAAGAAGATAGACTAATGGCTAACAAACATATGAAAAAATACTCAACATCTCTAATCATCAGAGAAATGCAAATCAAAACCACAATGAGGTATCACTTATCTCCAGTGAAAATGGCCTTTATCAAAAAGTCTCAAAACAATAAATGTTGGTGTGGATATGGAGAGACAGGAACACTTATACACTGCTGCTGGGACTGCAAACTAGTTCTACGTCTGTGGAAAGCAATATGGAGATAATCTGAAAGAGATACAAGTAGAACTACCATTTGATCCAGGAATCCCATTACTGGGTATCTACCCAAAAAAACAAAAGACATTCTAAAAGAGCCATCTGCACTAGAATATTTATAGCAACATAATTCAAAATTGCAAAGAGGTGGAAACAACCAAAGTGTCCATCAATACGAATGGATTGATAAAATGTGGTATATGTATACCATGGAGTTCTACTCAGCCACAAAAAACAATGGTGATCTAGCACCTCTTGTATTATCCTGGATAGAGCTGGAGCCCACTCTACTAAGTGAAGTATCCCAAGAATGGAAAAACAAGCACCACATGTACTTACCATCAAATTGGTATTAACTGATCAAAACTTAAGTGTACATATAGGAATAGCATTCATTGAGTGTCAGTCACATGGGAGGGGGGAGTAGAGGATGAGTATATTACACCTAATGGGTGTGGTGCTCACTGTTTGGGGGATGGACATACTTAAAGCTCTGACTCGGGTGAAGCAAAGGCAATATACGCAACCTCACATTTGTGCCTCTGTAATATGCTGAAATAAAAAAGAAAAAAATAAAATAAAATATTTTTAAATGATCTTTTAAAAAATAATCTTCCTATTTTTTATAATATCTATCAGTTAGTTTTTAAAGAGTAGAGGGAGAGTTTTTATGTCAGTTTCTTTGCTTTAGACAATACAAGAAAGAAATCAAACATTTTATCAATTGACTTACATTATCCAACACCATCACAGTGTGTCTGATGCTTCTGCATTTTCTTGTCCCTAGAGGCTCTGTCCCCATTGTTGCCAATGCAAGGGTGATTGCCAAAACTGATTATATTGAAGGTTCCTTAGTGACTTTTAAAGCTGGGCTCCAAGGACTCTTTTGTTTGTTGACTCTTTTGACTTCTGTTGTAGATGAAATATATAAATTAACGAGTTATAATATTCAGTGCCCAACATGTTTGCCTGACCAATAAGTCCAGAAGATCAACTATTCCCTGTCAGCCAATAGCTCATGGTGTTCCCAACACTTAACACTAGGTGTTCTATTATTTTAGCTATTAATACCAAGAGGACAAGAACATATCTTCTTGTTCTAAAATGGCAGAAGTCCTATCATGGAAAAAGCTCTGTGAAAGGTGGCTCTGGTCATTTCAAGGGACTTTTCTGGTTGAATATGTTTCCCTGAGAAAACTTAGCATTCACATGTTTCCACTGGAATATTCCTGTTCAACCTCTCTCTTATTTTGAGCATCTGCAAATAAACTAAAAACAGATATCATGAAATAACTTACTGCTAAAAGGGTAAGTATGAATATATTTGTTACTCAGTTATTTTTAGTGTATGTATGCATATATACTGGCAGGAAGAGAGAAGTGGGTGGGAAATGTAATGATATAGTTCTCTCTTTAAGTGAAGTATTAGACTTAATCAATATGTTGAATATCAATGCTAGCACTTGATGGAAAAATCAATCCTACAAACATTTATAAAATTTTTTTCCTAGAATGATGGCCCTAGAAATCATTACCAGATCTGGGTGGGAAATATTCAGAAATAAAATTCTCTATAAACACACATATATGCAAAATAAAAATTTAAGTGTATATACACACACAATAGCAACAGACTGAAATATTGGCTGAGATTTTATTATTCATTTCTGATCTTCAAAATTAAAATACTTTCTGGAAATTAAACACTCAATGTAGGATTTAGTCAATATGGATACGATGGGATTATTAAATATTTAATATTTATGCAAGACTGGATTCAGAAAAAGCAAGATATTGATGACTGAAGAGGAAATGTAGTTTTAAGACCCAAGCAAACCTGAATTCAGTACCGAGAGAACTCCTTCATGGTGAATTGAGATAGTGAAAAAGAAGAAAGGACAGAGGTTCTCAGTGTGAGCCATAAAGTCACCTTCTGGTGATAATGCTCTGGTCAAAATGGTATTAACTTCCTATCAAGCTTTATCCACCCTGAGTCTAGATTAAGATCCCTGCCCTATCATAATGTCTCTCCACCATAAGACTTCCTTCATTGTATTGGGTGTATAGTAATAGAAGGCAGTACTTACTTGGTTAGACAAAAGAAAGAAAGACGGTGTTCAAAGTTCTCAGAGTACATGCATCAAGACTTTTAGGGAAACATTCTAAAATCATTAAAAAACGGCTTATTTTTAAAGATTGCTTTTGCATTTAGTAAAGGTAAGAAATTTTGCAACTCTGAAGACATTACCTGCAAGTTAGAAACCTGTGCATATCTAGCAATATAGTTGAGATTACATAAAAAACAACTCCCACCTAGCTATTGATCTTAAAACAGAATAACAGAATCCCTAGACTTCACTCTTAATATTTCACTAAAAGAAATATTGAGCAAATATTAAGAGATCAATATACTAAAAAGATAAAGAATAAAATTGGGAGAATTACACAGTTACACAATGGCAACTTTTACTCCCCATCAGCCCTAATATTATACGTGAATTAAATAAAGGATTGCAGATAGAGTGACACACATTTAGTTTTTGCCCTCAATAATCCTATTTACACGAGTTGTATCAACATAATTACTAATACTGTCCCCTTTGCTTCTCAAGCATCTTGGTTTAGACGATAAATTGCATTGGTACTATTCTACCTTTGTTTCAATTGCCTATAGAAGCATGTCTTCAGGAAACTAAGACATGCAAGTAAATGTGCACCAACAATCAGAGTACAATGATTAAGAATCTGGAACTCTGGAGTGTGTGTGTCTAGCCATTTATTATTTAGACAACAGTGGCCATGTACTTACTTCTCTGTGCCTCAGCTTTCCCATTTTTAAATTAGAGATAATATACCTCTACTTTATATAATATATAATTTATAATTTCTCTAATCTGAGTATATAAATGAAATCATAAAAATATAGCTGTTATGTTCTTCAGCAGTTCATTTATTATACTCAAAATTATCTCATAGTGTGATAAAAGAGCATACCAAAATAATCAGATTGTATTACACAGCATTATCCAAGGGGTAGATATAATAAATAGATAATGAAGCTTAGAAGAAACATATAAAATTACAAATGTGGATGATTCAGGGTCAAAACATGTTTTTCCTTTATAGTGAATAACCCAGAATTAAAAAACTATCAAAAAACAAATAAAAATACATCTCAAGGGAACTGAAATGCCTTGTGTGGGTCCTGATCTAAAGCTTTATTTTAGGATTTTAACAATTCACAAATTTTAAAGAAAAGGAATGAAAATTAAGTGAATTTTTTTAAAAAATGTAACTTATGAGTTGAAGGAAACATTTGGCAGCATAAGAACAGTAATTAAAAACTAAAAATAAATTTAATGCAATCAAATAAAAAGGCACATGATCCAAGATAGGAGTTAAAATTCTTAATTCACTATAAATATATTCCTATAGCATATTAATAAAAGAAATGTTATGCTATGGTTCAATAACTAAAATTTATAAAATAATCTCATTTGGCATTCTGTATAAATAGATTAGGGGAGCTCAACTTACTATAAAATATGCTAATATATAGTAGTATGTGTATATATATTTTTTCACTATGAAATTTTTCAGATCAACAGGTAAAACTTACAGGTGTTGGATGAATTGAATAGGCACAAGAGTATCATTAGCTGATTTTGGCATTGAATTCTGCAGTTCAAATTTCTCTGACATTTACACGTAGATTTGGCAAAATCCAGAGGACAATAATGCGAAACCACACAGCAATAACAACGTTCATCCTTCTGGGACTGACAGAAGACCCACAGCTGCAAGTTTTGCTTTTTATTTTTCTATTTCTCACCTACATGTTGAGTGTAACTGGAAATCTGACCATCATTACTCTCACTATGGTGGATGCTCACCTTAAAACTCCCATGTATTTTTTTCTCCAAAATTTTTCTTTCTTAGAAATCTCATTTACAACTGCTTGTGTTCCAAGATTCCTGTACAGTATATCAACTGGGGACAGAACAATTACCTATAATGCCTGTGTCACTCAACTATTTTTAACAGATCTCTTTGGGGTAACTGAATTTTTTCTTTTGGCTACCATGTCATATGATCGCTATGTGGCCATCTGCAAACCCTTGCATTATATGACAATCATGAACAACAAAGTGTGCAAAACAATGGTTATTTGTTGTTGGATGGCAGCATTTATGATTATTCTCCCACCACTTAGCTTAGGTTTTGATCTGGAATTCTGTGACTCTAATGTCATTGATCATTTTGGTTGTGATGCATCTCCTATCCTGAAGATATCATGCTCAGACACATGGTTAATAGAACAGATGGTGATAGTGTGTGCTGTGTTGACATTCATCATCACACTCATGTGTGTAGCTCTTTCCTACATTTATATCATCAGAACTATTCTAAGAATCCCTTCTGTTCAACAAAAGAAAAAAGCCATTTCTACCTGTTCTTCACACATGATCGTGGTTTCCATCACCTATGGCAGCTGTATCTTCATCTATGTTAAACCATCTGCAAAAGAAGAGGTAAACATTAATAAAGGTGTGTCAGTGCTTATGTCTTCCATATCACCTATGTTGAATCCTTTCATATATACCCTGAGAAATAACCAGGTTAAACAGGCCGTTAGTGACTCAATCAAAAAAATTGCATTTCTCTTTAAGAAGTAAAGTATATGTAAATTGACAAATCAATTCACAAGATCAACATCTACTTCTTATTTTTCATAAAGTCAATAACCAACTTTGTAATTTATTAACCTATGGAGCAATCAAGTTGACCTCATACCCATTTAATTATTAATTTTACATTAATTTATTTACTGAGAAATTAATTATTGACCAATACTCTACGATAGACAAAATATATCACAATAATCCTTTAACCAGATTAAATCATTTCTTTTCCTTCTTTTTAGGTGATTTTCTCAGATAATTTTATATGGGTGTGAAATCATTCTTTTTTTTCTAGCTTCCATGAGAAGTCATTCTTAATCAAGACACAAATTCCTCCCCCATTAGAAAAATGACAGATTTAACCAACAAACTTTAAAATGAACTCAACAAATTGAGAAAATTTAAAGAAAAACATTAAAGAAGAAATATAAGTAAAAGAATAACTTTGTGGTACAGTTAACGCAAAAGATGTAATATCGTAAATATATAGCAAATTTCTATAAGTCTTTAACACAACATTTGTTTAAAAACATTGGAAATAATATTTATTGAAAGTCCTGGAAAATCTACATCTAGGAATTTATACCAAAATTCTAGTTGCCAATAAGCCTACTGATTGCAGTTATTTTGGTATAGTAAAAAGGTTGAAAAAAACCAAACGAACATCACTTGACAATGTGTAAGTCAAGTAGGAAATTATGGCATAAGATGTAGTGCTCATCAGATGGTATAGACCTTGATCTTAGAAGGATATTAAAAATTTTTAAACAATATTAAAGGTAATATATACATCATTATTCCATTTAAGAATAATAAAATTTTATGTTGATGATAAATGGGCAGAGATAGATGATACACATTTTAGCCATCCCTTTCCAACACCCTGAGCACCAAGTACAATAGTTATGGCACAAAGCAGAAATCAGTACATATCTGATGAATGAATGAATGAATGAATAATTGCATGTATGAAAGTTTGAATAGGTAAACAGATTATTTGTTATACATAGAAATGAAATGTGAAGATATACACCATACAATTTACAGCAGCCATCTTGTAAGAGGAGTGAGCAATGTCAAAGTCAAGAATATTCATCTATTCTCTAAGTCCCTATTGTTTGCGTTTATAGGTAATATTTGACAAATGCCTCTTGCTTTGTTTCTAAGCCTCCAATAAACAACTTTGTTGAATTGAAACTTTTAGGAAAACTTTCTCCATTTCCAATTTCAGTGGGGAACCCCATATCCCAAACTGTCAATTATTGCATTCCATTACCCAATCCATAGTGCTAATTCGGAGTTGTGATCTAAATCAGGGCAATCAGAGTTAATCAAGACTTTTTCTAGAAGCATGATACACTGCACATTCTTACTATGATATGGTGTGAAAAAGTAATATCTAAAACTGCTTCTGTTACTGTTCCTACCAGCAGAGAAACTACCGTGAGTAGGAGGCCAGCACAGAGAGAGGTTAGAGCATATAGATAAGTGAGTCACACAGAGATGGAGCTGTGGATTGAGCTGAGAAAGGTTAATTCCAAAGTTATACGAACACAGCCAAAAATGTATGTGAGATGTATGCATGTATATTTATGTATTTGTTATAGCCATTTAAGGTTTTGTTGTTACTTGCAAGTGAAATATTCTTCTTCATGAGAAATTGCTACCTAGAGCGCCAGCAAGAAGTGGCAGGTCTAAACATTGCAATTGTTCAACCAAGGTAAGAAAGAAGAAATTTAGAAATTTTGTTATATGGTAGTGAATGAATTGGTTACACTGCCTACCAGGCTTTTGTTGAGAATTCAGGATTCATGCCTAGTAAAACTGGAGGATTAGGGAACATAGAAAAATTTTAGGGTGATTGATTCTTCTAAGTAGCTTTACATAGCTTTCAAAAATGGTCTTATATTACAGAAAAATAAAACATACTTCAAAGTCACTCACCTAAAAGATAGAAAGGATGTGAAATTATTTCTCAGAATTCCTATTAATTAGTAATCTGCAGCCTTGCAAGCTTGAAAAAGTGAACTTTGTATATTGCAAGTCAAAGTTAATGAAAGTCAAGTCTGGAAGAAACAACTCTAGTAAGAAATAATATGGGCGTATACAGATGTTTGATTACGTAGGCCCTCTACCATAATAAATAATTTTCATTATGCACTCCCTGCTGCAACTGGGGGAAATGCCTACAATTTATGAAAGGGTAATAGGGTACCCATCCTGGAAACTAAAGGCAGATTAAAGGTGTTTCTCTACACCTGGCTACTGATTTGAATTATCTATGGGTCACAATCAAATTGAGACAGCTAAACTAATGAGAGATATTAGTAAAACATACTCATATGAGCCAGATATTATAAGTCACAAGTCTTCAGGTTCAATTCTGAATCTAACTTAAAAATATCTTTGGCTTTGCTTCTGAAATGAATTGGCTCATAAGTGATCAGTAAATAGGGAAATATTGTCAAGAAAACATGGGAGTCATTTTGGTTTATTTACAATTTTTTTCCACTACATTAATATTTTGTACTACCAAGTAACAGCAAAGTACACTATCAGAGTAGAATGCAAGAAACCATAGAATAATATAATACCATGAAACAATGCTGACTTATCCAGCATTCTTTCTCATGGCTCATTTTGGTAATATGCTGTCTTGGAAGTACCCTGTCTCCATAACTCAGTATCTTCAGTTCTTTCCTACTAACCATTAAATCCAACTACTTTTCAAGGTAAAGTCTCATACTTATGATAGTGTTTATTTATTTGGAATTTAACACATTATTTTACTGTGCTAGTATTTTCATTAGAGTTGCTTTGCACAGACTTATTTTTTAAATAATGCTTGTCTTTTTGGTTTATAAATTTGTATTATTTTTATTGCTTTATTGTTATTTTTAATTTTTCTGATTTTTTAAAATTTATTTTTAATTATTATGGGCACATAATAGTTGTATTATGATATGTGATGTTTTGATGCAGGAATTCTTGTTATTTTTAATGTGATTTCACCTAATACAAAGTTTTTCATGATTGCACATATTGCACTTTTGAAAAAGAGCCATAATTTAAGGTTCTGCAAAGCCAAAGAAATACCAAGTCTGCCTGACAACTTATAATTACTTAACTCCTCAGAAAATCTCAAGGCCCATACATTCCTATTTCCACAAAGAAGTAAACTGTTGGTTTTGTACAGATCCCTGTGGTGAAAAGCTTTAGCTTCAAGTTCAAGTATGTACACATTAAATGACATGATGAGGAGTACTTCCCAAATTTCTAAACCATGGGTACCTATATTGAGGACCAATTTGTTTGTTCCAGTTCTGGGGCAGATAATTCTTGCTATTCATTTCCATTAGGAAATAACAAAATTTATGGACTAGTTACTGCTATGCATTATTTCCCCATTATTCCAAATGAAAGTCATTTTCATTATCACCTTCTCTATCTCTACCATGGTATATTGGATATGGTGGATATGGCTAACCTTATTTAATAATAGTTTCCATGTCTGAGAAAACATGCATTTACAACTAATGAAAATAATTTGACATTATCCAATATTACTGGACTTGAAGGAATATACAATTTGAGTGTAGCTTTAGAGAGTTATCGATTGTATTCTATGTATCCTTGAACACTTTTAAAAACATGTATACTAAAACATGTACACTTTCAAAGGGTGAATTACCGGTATATTAATTATATCTCGACGTTTTAAAATATAATAATCAAAGTTTTAAAAAGCATATAATATCTGAAATTTACAAAAGCATATATAGGGTAAAGAGTGTGCTTGTAGATAAGATGCTATCAGGAAGGCACACATACTGTAGTAAATATACATGGCTTGTTTTTGTTTTTCCATTCTCGGCAACCTTTCTCTTTTTTCATGGTAATGTAAGGCAGAACAAAATAGGCTAATGGAAAACCAGGTTTTTCTTACGATTGAGTCCAAGAATAAATGATGTGATATAAGCTAATTCACATAGTATGTTCTATTTATCTAGCTGCTGTAGTGGCTTAAAATGACTCAACAAGCAGAGGCAGATCTTAATTTTTCCTAAAAATCCTCTGAACCAAACTATTTTTCTTCTCAAGGATGTTTTATATAAACTGCTGTCACAATTATTGCTAGTATGAAGAGAGCCAGCATGAAAATAAAAAGTCACACTGAGAGGAGAAGAACCTAGAAATTCTTATGGGGGTAAAGCCAGTAAAAAAAAAAAAATGACAGCATGAATTTTTGATTTGTATTGTAGCAAGCACTAGCCCTACCATCAGACTTTTTATCTCACATCAACCAACAGAGTCTATTGTTTGTAACCAGTTGGAAACTGGCTGTCTCACACTTGCAACCAAGAATTTCTAGCTGAATCAAAAGCCAATACCCCACATGCTTTCACAGCACTTTGGGCTTCCCTAGGGTTGCAAACAATAGAAATCATAATAGATTGTTTTAGTAATGAACTGAGAATTCACGTTTCTCAGTACCTATACCTTAGTATAGCTCCCTTTCACAGTCTCTGGACTTAGCCATATGACTAGCTCTGGTGAATAGACCAACAGCAAAACGATATAAATAAAGTGTGGAAAAGGCTTCCACATTCAAGCTAACCCTTCCTCTTGCTGCTTTTGAAACACAACTGTTACGTGAAGGTGCTCTGGCTAGCCTGCTGGAAATATGTGGGCTATTCAGAGCCAACATCAATGACCAGAGTTACAAGTAGGACTTCCCAAAATAAGTTAGTCCCTAGCTGACCTACCAAATCATTGATACCACTCAAGTGAGCCCAACCAGCATCCCATGGAGTAAAGATCAGCTACCCCAGCTGAGCCCTTACCAAATCAACAATTCACAGAATTGTAAGCAAATAAATGGTGGTTAGTTTAAGCAATTAGGTTTTAGGAAAGTTTGTTCTGCAGCAAAAGCTAACTGATATAGTAACTGGCCCTGAATAAGGCAAGCAGAAAAGAGATTTACTGGGAAATAT